ACCCCCACCAATAAATAATGATTTGTACCCCACATCTAAAATCAATGAGATCTTTCTCCCTGCTTTACAAATAATTAATGCCCTTGCTAATGCCACACCACTATGACATTACAGCCATTCTGAGAATTATTCAGACAGTCGGTTAGCAAAATGACTTGCAGCTATGGTCTTTGCCTAATCTAGACTTGTCGGCGCCACATGCGCGTGGTTTGTGATTACTATTTCATAGGGGTTGTCAACATGGTGAATAGCAAGTATTATCTAGCGTGCGTATGCAACAACCATTCTTTAAAAGACCCAAGTGTTTTGCAAGATATATTGCTGACTGACTGTTCGAATAATTCCCTAATGCAATACTGAATGCCCTCCATCATCATAGCTATTGCCCATTAACCAACCAACCATACTAACAGACCCCCCCCCCCCAAGTGGGAATACGTTAACCCTATAACAAGGTTACCAGCAAAGTAGTCTTTACTTTAATTTTATAATATTTGATCATGACTTTCACTCTTGCCCAACGGCCGAAATAGATTATATACAAGTACATGGTGTCAAGTTTGTTGACCGAAAATCCAGTTTGATGCGAATACATCTTACTGACAGAGTTATTACAGTGGGCTCCCATAGAACTTAAATCCCATACATTATTTGTATTCTGTCAGGAGTTGCAGATATCAGATATGATTTGAATAAACAATAACTGCAAATAATCCACTCTATTCTTTCACTCATGGTAGTCATGGCAACTACAGAAGAAACCATTATATCATGATGGGTTGCCGGTATCGTACAAAGGGGCTAGTTTGTTGATGGTACAACTTGAAGGGAATCTAACATTTCTTCAATCGCCTCGACTTGTGCATCGTGGTCCCTCATTTCCACAGACTGAAAATAAATACATCAAAGTTGGTTATAGTCAATTATAGTCAAATATAATTTTGCATATTTAAAACTACTGAAGAACAAGCTGATAAACTTTCTGATAGACTTTCGTGGAATATTGTCTTACCTTATACTTTTCAGATATTTGTCTTGCAGCCCACGCTGCATACTTCATATTATCTTTCTTCGTTTTAGCATTTCCTTTCGGTGACCCGGCTAAATTACTAGCAGACTAGTGAAAAAACAAAATATATAGTTGTATTAACAAAACTAAACCATCAGATGGCAGATTACATGCACTGTTTAAACTTGTATATCTGTCATAATACTCTAGTTACAATAGATCACATGACCATATAAGGTATCATTAGCTCCGCTGTCGACTTTGTCGAGCGGAGCTTATCATATGAGTGATTGTCTGTCGTCGTCGTATGTGTCAATGTTTTACTTTTTCAACTTCTTCTTGAAAACTACAAGCCTGAATGCTTTGATACTTGGTGTATATGTACCTTGGGTAGACCTCTCTCAGATTTGTTCATTTCATGATCATATCTTCAATTCTCTAATTTTGGTCAATATTTTTGTCATTTTTGGTAAAAAGTGATATTTTCAACTTCTTGTTAAAAACCACAAGTCCAATTGCTTTGATATTACATATATAGGTACTACATGTGAACCACTCTCAAATTTGTTCATTTCATGATGATATCTTCAATTCTCTAATTTTGATGAATATTTTTATAAATTTTTGGTAAAAATTGATATTTTCGACTTCTTGTTAAAAACCACAATAATTTATAGTGAAAAATGATATTTTTGAATTCTTGTTGAAAACAGCAAGTCTCATTGCATTGATACTATGCATATTGTTCATTTTCTAATGATATCTTCTGTTCTTTAATTGAAATGTGCAGTGCTAACAGCGGAGCTATCTCAGCCGAGAGGTTACTTGTTTTATTTTGGCAGCAACAAGAAAAAAGTTCTGAGCAACTGCATCTTCCAGCAAATGTGCACACTAAACAACTTTTAGCAGTTTGGTAGTACTTTATTATCAGTGACCTTTGACCTCATTGGGTATTTAATATTTACCATAAATATTCCATAAAGAGCTCTCATGTTATCCCCATTTAACTTGGCAGCTTGTGAGAAATATTTGCAGGCCATTGGCATCTCCCCTTGTGTGTATTTAATCTGAAATATAAGAGAACAATTGGATTGGATAGCATAAGTTTTATATACACTCACCTCAGTATACCTTTGATGGTATAAATGGTTATGTAGATTGGATAGTATAAGTTTTATATACACTCACCTCAGCATACCTCTGATGGTATAAATGGTTATGTGGATTGGATAGTATAAGTTTTATATACACTCACCTCAGCATACCTCTGATGGTATAAATGGTTATGTGGATTGGATAGTATAAGTTTTATATACACTCACCTCAGCATACCTTTGATGGTATAAATGGTTATGTTGAATGGATAGTATAAGTTTTATATACACTCACCTCAGCATACCTCTGATGGTATAAATGGTTATGTGGATTGGATAGTATAAGTTTTATATACACTCACCTCAGCATACCTCTGATGGTATAAATGGTTATGTGGATTGGATAGTATAAGTTTTATATACACTCACCACAGTATACCTCTGATGGTATAAATGGTTATGTTTAATGGATAGTATAAGTTTTATATACACTCACCTCAGCATACCTTTGATGGTATAAATGGTTATGTAGATTGGATAGTATAAGTTTTATATACACTCACCTCAGCATACCTTTGATGGTATAAATGATTATGTGGATTGGATAGTATAAGTTTTATATACACTCACCTCAGCATACCTCTGATGGTATAAATGGTTATGTGGATTGGATAGTATAAGTTCTTCTACACAATATGCAGCTTTACTGTACCTAAAAATGAAATATTGTTAAATTTAAAAATAAATAACACTCAAAAAGATGACCATCTGTGGTTGTTATTGCACAGTAATATAAAGAATGATTCCCAAAAGAAAAAACCCTGAAAAGGAAAAAAGGAAAATAATCTAATTCCTAATGTTTGAGCTAACCCAATTAAACACAGGTAATAATTACACTTGAAGGCTCTCTAATAAGAGTTATTATACATCTGTCACTGTAACACCATGAGTTACAGTGTGCCATAATTTTGCTGTATTTTACGGGGTATTTTCATCCTACTATATTAGGAAATGTGAATTCCAAAATATGGAATGATTACGCAGGTAAGGGTCGAAAAATAAAAACAAAAATGGCTGCCACTTGAGTTTGAGTGAACTCCACACAAAGAAGTTCACTGATTCTGTTCTAAATTTTTTGAAATTTCGGCATTCCCATGATGTATTCTTGGAAGGAAAAGATGTATAATAATAAGGTTATTACAAGGATACCTCAAAGTATGCACTTAGACAGTACAAAGTCGCATCAACCTCCGCTGCACGTCTGTCGATACTCTTGCTGTACTGTCTTCGTGCATACTTTGAGGTATTTTTGTAATAACGTCATATTAATTCTATAATGTGTGTACTGATCAAAGACATCAAAGGAAGACACAACATGAATAATGATGTCACTAAGCATTATATAATGTTATTAATTATTCATGAAGACATTTTATTTAGACAAACAAATTTACAAAAACAAACTAAAATAGCAATAGACATGTATATAACTTGTGGCATTGAAATAATTTTGCAAGGGTTGATAAGGCAATCAAATTCCTAATTATTCATAACAAATCACCAAAGGTTACAGAAAAGTATTACAATTGCGATTGCAATTGTCGTTATCGTCGTTGCATGTTCACCTTCTGTTGTTACTTTAGTTTTATTTCAGTAGAATCTCCTATCATGACAAATGATATGCATATAGGAAATACAAAAATACTTACTCTTGTTCAGAAATATAAAGATCTGCTAATTCCATCCACGCTTCATGATCCGCTGAAAATCTGGTAGATAAAATAAGGTAATAATTAAAATAATTAGTAATAGATAAAGGGTGCAAATAAAAACAAATTAATACACATGATGTCTGGTGAAAATGGCAGAGGTTTGTCAATGATCAAAATAAAGGATATTTTGATAATAAAGTTAAACAATAAATGCAATTGTTGGTTCACAATGCGCTCCTATTAAAGATATAGCAATAGAACAAATTTGATAAGTCATATTAATAAGACTTGGCGTAAATTCTCAAAATGCAAAAGGCATTTATCACCTTTACAAAACAAACCCACATAATTTTTAAAAGTAGTTTATAAATAAACGCTGCTCGGACTGATAAATATGATATATAGAAGATAATATTTGGTAATCGTAGTCCTAAATAAATAAATAAAATAAATAAATTTTTAATAGTTATTTAGGACTACGATTATCAAATATTATCTTCTATATACCACATAATTTTTAACATTTAAACAAAAAAATATTTTAATCAAGATCTGTAACCAATAGAAACGTATTATTGTTTGTTTCAAAATAAAAAAAATAAAACAATACTGTAAAGTGACTAATTTTCACTGGGTTTAAATTTAGGCGAGGGTTCAGTCAGTCAAAATGACTATTTTGAACTGTAGGCATTATCAGCGATTCTGCCGGTGACTGAGAGATAGAATCTAGGTCAGGGGAAGCCCCATGACCTCAAGATTCTTTTACCACTTACGTCACGAACCCACGTGACCGAGGCCACATGGCAGCGCAATAGGTAGCAGGCCTTGCCGTCTATGGCGAGCGATCGCTCGCGCAAGAAGCTCACGAGACGAGCTAAAAAACACTCGCCTAGCACAAGCACAGTCCCTTGATAGAGAGACTGTGAAACAAGCAACCGGGGAGGGTGATGACGACAATTGAGAAGGCAAGTGAATCACCAAAATCAAACAGCCCTTTTCAGGGCCATGAAATCCTCCAAAAAGAGAATCGTTGTTATTAATATTACAAAATAAATGTGTTTAGTTCATCGCCAAAAAACAAAATTAATTCCCTTAGAGTATAAGAGTTCAATCGGAGTTCATGATGCGTTGTCACTAAGGACAACCATTGACATCAAACGTAGCAACGTCAAATTCTATTGGCAGGTAAAAGCTCAGTATTTGATTTGTAACCAATTAGAGCATAGGTAACATACTAGTAGTCAATGTGACGTCACAAAGTTGGGAGAATACAGCTTTAGCGATCGGATCAAGATTTTGCGTGAAATCGAGCCAGATTTTCGCACGTTTTTCATGAGTTCATACAAGTATTTCTGAGTTTCCGTAATATCATCGATAAATTGAAAATTTGTTGTAGTTGGATTGTGATTCATTAATTTTTTCCATTGAAAAATATGTCAGCCGACTGGGACCGGCAATGCTAAATACGAACTCTGGTATTATTTATACATGTCGAGTGATGCTAGACTGGCGAAGTCGGGACTTCTTTTTTGTTTTACAAAAAAAATATTATTGTCAATTTAGCCTTTTTAACGCGATTGCAAAAACCAGCGTGACTGCGGTTAGGTTAGTTTTCGCACAGTCCCTCTATCACATAGAGGGACTGTGGTTTTCGTGATCGCGCTAAAAGGACTAAATGAAAATTAATTATTTCTTTTTGTAAAACTAAAAAGAAGTCCTGACTTTGCCAGTCTCGGTTCTAGTGTGCGTTTGGCAACATTCCTAAAGTGGAACACTGGTGGAAATATTGGATATCGTCGTGTGGAAACGGATGAGGGTCAAACACTTGTAGTCGAAGTATGGTGTAACCTCTGTGCCAAATATATGCAGAAAATTCAGGCCGATGTAACCATCAAAGGGCAAGCCAAAAAAGACCTAACGATTTACGTGAATGGGACAAATAGCATGACAAAACATAATGTCTCTAGACATTTGTCATCTGACAATAACATTGATCCTGATTAAAATGTGAGATTGACTGTGACACATGGTTCAATTTCAAAGTGAGTTGTGTGATTTAAAAATAAATAAATATAAAAGAATGACAACAAGTCTGTTGTATTTTATTTCCATAATAATTTATTCATTATAATTATAGTCATAGGCAGTTATAGTTAACTAAAACACCCTGGGTCCACCCTTATTGCAAATCATATAATTTTCTAAAATCACTCGCCTCACTGCTTTTAGGTGAGAAATTTGTAATCACTCCCATAACTCGCCTTAGTGCTTGTAGGAGAGCAATTTTTTACTCACCATCCATTTTCAAAAGGCAAGCACTGAGGTAGCCGTCAATCACTGGTTCCTTTCTCTCCGCCTCGAGGACTTAGACCAACGCGACGGAAAGAGTGGGGAGGTTGGGGGGGCAGAGTCTATGGTGGGTATGAACTATGTGAATAGGCGGGTTTGGAGAACCCTCGCCTAAATTCACTACGTTCAATTACCCACCATGGACTCCGGTCAGTCAAAATGACTATTTTGAACTGTAGGCAGAGTCAGACACCGACAGGTGGCGGGTTTTCCGAGCAAACAGAAAAAATGATGAAAGTCTTTTCCCAGTCCGGGATGAAAACAAACTCAACACCCTAGTTAAGACCCAAAAAAGAGTGGTGTCTTACCTTGCCTGTGCTGTCCCCGGAGCAAGGAGCCAAAATGCTGCTACGGTGACAGGGTTCGGTGTGCCCGAGAAAGCTAGACTCCAACCAAATTCTCGGGGGTAGTAAGCTTTCGAAGTAAAGACCAAAACAGTTCTGCATGAGGGCATAGGCCACAAAGCGGGACCTGGGAGCTCCCATGGGAGTGCTGATGGTAGAGAAATCTGTCCGCATAAAATGGCGGACTGACTTATTGCCTATGCGCAAGGACCCTAGCGGTCGTTCGGGCTGGGTCAGCAAACCAAGATTGACCCGCTACAACGGGACCCAACCTAGAGAGACCCTTTTCAATGGATTTGGTGTCTCTTAGATAGTAGTTGATAAGACGTTCTGCATTCTCCAGAAGCCTGCCCTCCATGTGTGCTCGAGGGGGGGCGCCTGATGCTAGCACTAGCGAGTTACTTGGTGTCGTACTTGGTGTCTCTGCGAGCTCTGTGTCGAGGAATATAAAGTATTAGACCTCTAATACAGTCGCAGTAAACCACCTGGTTATGGACGTTGGGGAGGCCAGCCTATCCTGCCTGCCTGGGCCATAACACAAAGATGTGTGCCTGGCACCCAATTCCAAATCCTTAGTACGGTTTGGTGGCAACTCCGTGCTCGTACCGGGTAGAGAAGCAATTCCTCCTGAACCTCTGGGCAGACAAAATTTTACAGATGGGGGATGACGATCGGGTGAGGATCGTGTCCTGGGATTTGGTTCTAGGCGAGAAACCCGATTCGTGTCTTTAGCACAACTTGATTGTCCATAACGGCGGTCCATCATCCGAGAAGGACAATGACCCCCTGTTACCTGGCCAGTAGAGGGATGGTATGGATCAATCTCCCTTCCACTACACCAATCAGTGTATGCTCGCAGCCTAGAAATGTAGGCCACATCCCGGTGGAATCCCTGTTCGCCCTGGCAAGGACGATGGCAGCCCGCTCAGATAAGGCTTTCGTATGTGCGGGTCTACTGAGAGCCTCTATGCGTGTAAGTGATACCTGCTGGGCTCGTTGGTAGTGCGCCGTCTGGTTGGGATGGCAGGTCCGGTAAGTCCGGAAGCACTGCTGGTGTTTCGACTAGCAATTCCAACAGAAGTGGAAACTAGGCCTTGCTTGGCCAATTGGGTGCAACCCATGATAATATGCCCGGTAAACGGGAAGGGAGGAAAGGCATACACAACTAAGTGGGTCCACAGGGTTAGCAAAGTGACCCTGGCGTCAGCAGGAGTGTTACGTATGTCAGGAGCTTGGCGTTCCGGAGTGCGGCAAACCGGTCCAACCTTGGACCGTCTCGCAGCCGAAACAGCCTGGAGGCTACCCATTGGGGTATCAGCCACTCCCTGTTCCCGATGGAGCCGTCCTGAAAGGGCGTCGCCAGACTGTTCCTTACCCCTGGAAGGTGGTGTGCGGTTAGCTCCACATTGTATTTCAGGCATCAAAAGAGGATTTGCTCCACTAGGACTGACAACGATGGGGAAGGCGTCCCCCCTCCTTCTTGAGAGAGACCACCGCTGCGTTACCTGTGCGGAGCAGGACTCTGTGGTCTCGAACTACGGGTAGAAAGCGTGGTAGTGCTAAGTACACTGCTCTTAGTTAGAGTCGGTTGATATGGTAGTCCCAAAACTAATGCGAGGGGAATAACACGTTTGAAATAGCTAAGCCAAGCTTACCTACCTACCTACCTACCTGTCAAAACTTCATGCCCAGGGACACCAACTACGCGTTGGGTCGAGGTGGGACTTGTCAATTCACTAACGAGCCCAACTGGTGAAATAAATCCTGTGTTAGCCTGACGTGTTTGGCTATTAACCCCTTGCCTGGGTTGTTAGTAACCAGTAGTCTGGGTCCGAATTGAGGTGTACCGACATCTGGTTAAGAAGCAGCACTACCTGTTTCATCACTCTGGTGAACACATAGGACGCTGTGCCTAACCCGAACGGGGGGGGCACCCAAAATTTGAATACTTGGCCCAGCTGGGCAATTCGAAGGAGATGGCAACTCGCTGGGTGCATCGGTATGTGCCGGTAGGCCCGCTTAAGTCTAGTGGGGCTAGCCAGTCGAAACGGTGGATGGAGAGGAGAACCCTGAATGGTGTCTCCATGTGGAACCGATCGAGGAGCACGTACTGATTCAGTCTGCCTAGGTCCAGAACTGGATGCCCGCCACTTGTAGATATGGTACTACGAACACATTTGGGTAAAGCCTGGACTTAGTTCCAGCTGATGTACCCTGTGTATGGTGCCTTTTCCCAGCAAACTGCTACTTCCTGTCTGATTGAGTCCCCTGGCAGTGCCCAACAGGGGAGACACTGACGAGGGGAAATGGAGATTTCAGCGGTATCCCGTAACAGGATGTCACCACCTGGAAGGGTCCAGAGATCAGTCACCCACTGTCTCCAAACCGGACTACACCGGCGCAATCTGTGTACGACAGGGATATGTGGCCATGTGTTCGGCAGTTGCGAGGGGGGGTGCTCCCTTCCCCCATGAGGTGAGTTCCCAATGGCCTGAAGTAGTCACTAAGTTGTGACCTGGCCACCTACCGAACATGTGCCTTCAACATGCTTCCCCTGCTGCCGGGTAGACATCCACCCAGAGAGGGTGAGGAGCCACCACCTGGCTCTTTCCTCCCTGGGGGCGCGCCACTACTTTTCCCTCCCATGGAAGGGTATGAGCGCTTGCCTCCTGGCTGACTGTGGCTAGCGGACGACGCCTTAGAGCGTTGTGTTTTCTGTGCCTGGGGTGCCCTCCGCTTGCCCATGGCAGGGTCAACTGGCTAGTGGATTCGATCTGAACCGAGACTATACCCACCATTCCCTGAACAAAGAGGGTGGAGGATGTCCAGTCTGCGTCACTGAGGTGGGGACGTACCCCGGCTCAGCTTGTCAGCGAAAACATGTGCGTCTAAGACCACGTCTCGTAGCACAGTAGTGGCCCCGGCCAAGAGAGCCAGGCGACACGAGGGGGTGTCGCATGTAGATGTGCGGTGGCCCACCAGTAAAAATGTCGCATGGTCTAGGAGGCTGGTGCGTTCTGCCTCCAAGGTTTCCAGAGTCCTGGACACGCACAATAATGTGCTCAAGCAACTCTGCCCTCGGGGCTGGATGGGTCGTCTTCAATTGGCAAAGACACCCATGGAACGCGGCTATCCCCCTTTGCCCGGTTTGCCAAATTCGTGGTACCGTGGTCTGGGGAAGGAGCCTTGAAATCCGGTTGGGGGCGTTTTGGTCTCATCCCACGCTATGGGGTCTGATCCCGAAACCACACCGACCGGGTAGCGTTTGGTCCAGTGGGAAGTGTTGTCTAATGTTATTCCCACCCGGGGGCCTTAAGCATTACATCCTCCACGGCTGACCAATGCCGCCCATCAACACCGTTTGCGTGCTCTGCACCCCACTCCGAACTCAGGTGGACAGGGAGAGACGTGCCGACGGGGTTGCTTTGGATCCTGACGCCCGTGATCCCATGAGCAACCTTAGGTGGTCACTTTAGGATCAAGGGTGGGGGTATCTACATCGTATCACTGGGATCCGCCTCACCCCAAAAGCATGGCTCACCGAGTCATACAGATGGAAGACCCTGAGGGACCGTCCGGAGTACCGGCTGTATCCGACACAAGCGAACTGCGTCCTCTTTCACTTTAAATATGTGAGAGGGAGCGTATTCAACTGTGCGTCTCATGACAGGGTCGGTTCCCTCTGGGGACGCCCGTGGGTCGGTAAGAAAGTCAAAACCCACAGCGGAGACTGGACACAAGGATAAATTCGTTACCGTTGTACCAACTACCATTACCACGTGACGAACCCTAGCTGGCTGAAAGTAGAGGGCGTCAACGTGTGCCCTGCCCTGAAAGCCCTGCCCCGAGATCAGAGGCTCGGCTGCCAGCACCCTGTTGGCATTCAGTGCCCGAGGCTCCAGAGGAGGCCCGGTGCAATTAGCCTGAGCCTCGGCCTCCCCCCAAAATAGTGAGAGAGCCGCGGCTGGGAACGGGGGTTCCCCGGAAGAGACGTGTTTGAATGCAAACATGCTTTTGTGTCTCTTCCTGCTTGCCCACCAAGGGGACACAGTGGAAACAGCTCACTGCGACTGTGTCTGATCTACCCGGCCTGCCAGGGACGCAATTGCCCCGACAGTTCTTTGACCAAAGCCCTCAACTCAGAGGCAAACCTGGCGCCGTGCGAAGAAGGGTATACAAAGAGACCCGCAACGGGCCCCATAGGAGGAAAGCCTCCAGGGGCACAGCCTTGCTGCTGCCGGTAAAATCGGGTAAACCATCGCCTGAAAAAACAGACTGTGAGGATGCCCTCCGATCAGCGGGGGAGGCCGAGAAAAATATCGGTACCTCCACCGTTGGGTCTCGTACTCGACGTCCCGGTACACGAAGTACCGGTAGCTGAGCGTGAGGACTTTCCACTCATGCAAAACACGCAACTCACATTAACCGATTTGTTTACTGGACGCACGACCTTGCTGTGACACGGTCAGTCTCAGCGATTTTGATGGCTCTGAAAGAAAATCTCAGGCCTCAGAACTCCAGTGAAAAAGCACACACCTTCACGCAAAAAACCCTGAACCCCGCACGCAGCTACGACAAAGTATCTCGGATGCGGGTTTTATGCTGGTAAATTCTGAATATAACCACTGCACGGTCGACTCGAAGCACGATGAGACCGGAAAGAAAACGGCAGCGAGCCCTGGTGTTTTCATTACATCTATATATTACTAAATACATTGTAAATAAAAGACGACATGTATGAGGGAAGCGAATTACAGTTGTAAAAGGTGCCGCCATGAAACCAACATGCGGTTACGTAGTGGCGCCGGGTTTTAATTTCTTTGTTGTGGAAAGGCATAACACACAAAGGGGAAAACGACACGAGGGTAAAAAGACAAGAAAAACTTATCCTACCAGCTAGAATGTCAGATGCCACGGCTGCGGCAACGACCCACGCTAGAAACCTAGACAGGAAAAAAGCAACAGAGCCAGGCAGAGCCACTCAGAATCATTCCCCAACGAGGCGGAGAAAAAAGAAGAGTGATTGACGGCTACCTATGGCGCTGCCATGTGGCCTCGATCACGTGGGTTCATGACGTAAGGGGTAAAAGAATCTTGAGGTCATGGGGCTTCCCCTGACCTAGATTCTTTCTCTCCGTCACCGGCAGAATCGCTGATTAATGCCTACAGTTCAAAATAGTCATTTTGACTGACCAGAGTCTATGGTGGGTAATTGAACGTAGTGAATTTCGCTGATTTACCATTTCAGGCATATTCAGTGGGTTTTAAATTCACGGTTTTATCATTTAGGTAATGTGTTCTAGGCTCAATTTTACGTATTCACTGGGTTTTATTTTAGCACATTCTCCAGTCTGCGAAATAAGCTAAATTAAAACCTAGTGAATAATTAACCCCTTTACAGTACATAACATTTTGGCAAAATGTTGCAATTAAATTTTGGAGGGAAACAAGTTTAAAGAGATAAAGGTTGCTATGTCTAGATAGCTTTTAACTTGTCAGCTTACAATGAGAGAGGGTTACAATGAGAGAGGGGATGGGGATTTCATTACAATAAAAAACAAGCTTATAGTTTCAAGGTCATATTTCTCTCAGTAATGTTCAGCAACATACATGTTATTGTGCATACTAAGACAGCTATTTCTGCTGTTTGACAGTTGTACATGTGTGAATACCTGAAGACATTTTTGATATTACAGCGGGCGCAAGATATTTACATACACCTAACTCCCACACCCTTTATTGCGTCTACAACGGTCATTGGAGTGTCCAGGGAAGTGCCTGGGGATGTTGCAAGTAGCTACCGGGTGTGGGAGTTAGGTGTATGTAAATATCTTGCTGTAACACATTGCCAACTGGAAGCTTTCACTTATAGCCGCAATGAATGGGAATGTGTTGAACAAACATTTTGAAAACCACATAAATTATCGTCTTTGTAAGGGAAGAGTAGGAAATCAAACGGGCGGTGCACCGCGGTCATTACCGCGGTGTACCGCAGAACGCCGGGGAGAGCCGCGGACTGCTTATAATTAGGGGTCTCTACCGCTGTACCGGTCTCTACCGCGGCCCTCGGTAATGCGTGAAATACGTACTTAACAGTTTCTTTGTGATTCCACGAGTCATTGTTTTAAAATCCAATGCTGTAAATGAATACGATATGTGCGCTTGTTTAGTATTTAGTACATGTATTTAGCGTAACACTGGAATAAAGTTTACAATTGAAAAGAGGACGATTTACAAAGTTTCAGCGTATCCAAGCCGTATCCTGGTTCTTGATTGATTTGACAGTATCATGTTCACCATTTGTGTCACACTCCAGAAAAAATGGCCAGCAAACGAGAAACGGGCGAACTAATCAAAACAGATCAGGCTGTCTGC